TGTCTACCCTATCATGGGTCTGTAGAGTTGGCAGTGAGTCATGCCTTGTATCTAACGTGCTAATGAGAAGTCAAGCTTATAAACCTCTGAAGAGGATCTCACAGCAGTTGTATCCTGGAATAGCAATATACCCATTGCCACTCCCTGCTTGTCAGGTCTGAGATATGCAGGTTTCTCAGGAATTCTCCTAAAAGGAGAGCAGTGGTCCCCGATTCCTCGAAGGCAGCTTCCTCAGGAACTATGGTGGACTTGCCACACTAAAGGAGTTTTGGATTCAAGGTTCTGTCTTGAATCTGATTAGTGGTTCAGCCATTGGTCAGAACACAAATAAAGGGAACTCCACCCATCCCGCAGCACAAACCATTCATAAGAGCATTAAATAAGTTGTGCTTTCCTGATTTCTGGTGGTCTCTCTCTCCCTCAGTAGTTGAGGCCTGCCATATAAAGTAGACAGATTGTACACTGCACGAGAGTGCTGCATCTAACGAGGCATCCTTCACATTGTAGACATGGTAGACTTATATGCCCTGTGATAACTTCCTGGTACATAGCAACGTGTCATTCTAACAAACTCAGTACATTATGACCATCTCTGACCAATAGATGTAAAGCACTTTGAGGGAAGCGTGTCTCTTTAATTCCAGAAGAACTATATGGATTCGTAGCAGCCACAACTAATAGGTGAAGGATAGAAAATAAGAAAAATGCACAAAGTCCAACAGATTCAAACTCTTCCAGGGCAGGGATGTCTTGTGAATGCCTTTTACAGTGTTGAGGGACCTCTTCAGAGTGAGGCAGTGTTCGAGTGCTCAATCATTAGTACAGACCCCCAAGAGCAAGGACTTGGAGGTAACCATCACCCTTCAAACAGTCACCTCTACTGAGGACTGGAGGTGAAGAGAGAAAAGACAAAAAAATATTTTTCCCCATCCCAGCTGTTCTCCCTCTTGTATAGAGGAGCTGGAAGAAGTCAAGAAAAACAGCACAGATGTGTTTTGATGTTGACTCACATGGAAGCAAGTAACAAAAGAAGAAAAATAAAACCATACTTCAAGAAGAGCCAGTTGTTTTGTAGCTTCCCACTATTTATTCTCCTTCTACTGGTAACAGCTCTCCACTTTCCCTTTAGGAAATCAATTCTGCCCCATGGTTCCAGATCTCTAGAACTGACAAAATACCCTGCCTTCTACGAGCCAAAGGGGTGGGCACACGACTCAAGCTAGTTGCACTGTCTCTCTCCTTCTCTGTGATGGTTAATTTTGTGTGTAAACTTGACTGGCCACAGGGTGCCCACATATTTGGTCAAACATTCTGAGTGTTTCTGCAAGGGTGGGTGTTTTTGAAAGAGATTAACATTTTAATCAGTCAAGAAGATTGCCCTCCATAGTGAGTGGTCCTATCCAACTACTTGAAGCGTAAATAGAATTAAAAGACCAAACTTTCCTCTAAGTAAGGAGAATTCTCTAGCAGACTGCCTTCATATGCAACATCAATTCTTCCTGTCTGATGGCCTTCAAATAGGAACATGGGTTCTGCTTGGGTCTCCAACCTGCCAGACTGGACTTACCAGTCTCTGCAATCACATGAGTCAATTCCTTCTTTTATACACACGGGGAGAGGGGGAGAGATGGTTCTGTTTCTCTGGAGAACCCTGATTAATATACACTCACTCTGTCTGGATTTTGAAGCATGAGTGTAGACACTTACAAATATAAGAATGTTTGGAAAGCAGTTATTACAGCAGTGGTGTCCTGATGAGACTGTCAGGGACCTAGTTCCTGCTACCTTAGCCCCTCCAGAGATGCTTTCATTCTTATCCTTTTCCAAAACTGGTTCTCAATCTTCCTAACAATGCTTTGATCCACCCTATAACTTCTTTTAGTCCATGAATATTTACTGAGCGCTATGATCTGAATCTTGGTGTCCCTCTAAAATTTATAGAACTTAATCCCTAATGTAATTGTATTAAGAGGTGGGACCTTTAGGAGGCCTCTCGAATGGGATTAGTGCCCTATAGAAAAGGTGTAAGGGAACCTGCAGGCCCCTTCTGCCATGTGAGGACACACAGAAGGCACTAACTATGAGGAACGGGCTCTCATCAGATACCGAATCTGCTGGCAACTTGATCTTGAACAGCCCAGACTCCAGAACTGTGAGCAATAAATCTGTGTTGTTTATAAATTACCCAGTTTAAGGAATTTTGTAAAAAGTCTGAGCAGACTAAGACAATGAGTACCTACTATATTCAGGATACTGTTCTATTGAGGAAATACCAGTGAACAAGCTAGCCCTTGTTCTCATGGAACTTATTTTCTAAAAAGTCCTTTTCTGCTAAAGTAGATTAACTCTTCTTGAGAGTTTATTTCTGTTGCTTGCCACCAAAGAATCCCAGCAAGTACTAACAATCTCCCTGCAGAGACTTCCAGCTCCGCCCATTCCCTGGGTCATCTTAGATAAACCAGATGTCAATCTTCAGGAGTCAGAAGATCCCTGGATCGATGCAATTCTTGAGAGCTACTTCTTTATGATCACCCCATGAAAAAAAAAAAAACCCTGAGAACCCACCAGTGCATTTGTCTAATGTCCTAACTTTTGGATATAAATGACTCCACAGGAACATCTACATCAGAGGGGTTTCTCAACAGATGCCCTCCATCGAAACCATCTTTTCTCCTCTCCTGCTTAGAACCTGGGAAGATCCCTTACAATGAATATTACCTTGTTTATGCCTCATTATGACTTGTTTCAGGTTTAATCTTCTTCATCAGAGCCTTTTTAACGTCCTCCCCCAAGACCCAAAGGATTTATTCTGGGATTAGACAGGAGACAAGATCAGAGAAGCTGATCCAAACAGCCAGAGATGGCTTTCTCATCAGGTAGCACCAGGCAGTTATTTAACACAACTGAAACTCTATCTGGAAGCAAGTAAGCATGCTGTTTGGTTCACTGTGGGGGTGTCAGTGACTACGGCTGGGAATTGTCACAGTTTAGTTTAGCACTCCTGGCAAACTTTGGAGCCAGCTTGCATAATGCAGTGTCTAAAGAACATGATTCCAGTTGAACAGAGCATGTTTGCGGTTAAAAATAGAACTCTGTCGCATAACAACTCATATATAAACCATGAGGCTGGGGGAGGAACAAAATTAAATAATAGTCACTGAGGGTTCTTGAACACCTGTCTCAGTCCCTCAGAGCATAAGTTATCTGGGAATTGCCAGCACACTGAAGCCAACCCTGCCCTGATATCAAACGGCAAAAATAAACAACCAAACTGACCCAGTTAAATCAGGAAACATGACCGCACCTTTAAGCAGGCTACCTTTCAGGTGGCCTCTCCAGCCCAGGCCTCCTTGGGGATTTAACTCTGAATTCTGAAAGAATTAACTGCTGTAGATCCCATGACAGCCACGCTGGATTCACAGCGGGATTGAAAGCTGAGACTGTGTTAGGTCTGAATGCCACCCTCACGTTGGCATTTTCACTGCACGCACATGGGTTATACTTTGTACAGAATGCGTGAAACGTGGGCCCTGGCTCCTTCTAAACAGTTGTGGGAGTCTCATGACCCACTCCTCAGACTTGCAAAGAGCTAAGAATTAGAAATCAAATATTTGGGTTTCCCTGCCAGGAAACGCTTTACAACAGTGTGTAGGTCTAACTGGAGGGGTTGTCCAATGACGGAGTGGAAATTTCATGGCTGAGTACATATAAAGCTGTCAGAACAATTAATACTATAATATGCCACCAGAAAAAAAAAAAAAAAAAAAAAAAAAAAAAAAAGGGTATGGGGATGAAAAAGAAAATGAGGCTACCTCCTTCCCCAACCCTGCCACTGACCCAGGCAAATTGCTCCTCCCCTCAGGGTCCCACTTTCCCTCTTTAAAAATCTATCTATAATGCCTGCTCTCTTCCAAACTCACCGAAATGCTGGAAAGTTTCACTGGACACCTGTGTCACTTATTTGTTTCTGGTTCTGAAACTCTCGAGCAGTAATATGCTCTGTGCTTCACAGTCACCTGAAGAGTTTTTAAAAACTTCCCTACCTCAGCCGCACTCCCGGAGGTTTCTGGGTGGGTTCTAGGCACGGGTGGATTTAAAAGCCCCCTCAGGTGATTCTAATGTGCCTCCAGGCCTGCGAACCAGGAGCCAGGACTGGGAGAAGCACCGCCCCACTGCTTCCCCAGGGAGCAATGGAAGATGAAAGAGATGCAGATTCTCCCACCTGCTCCAATTCTTCCAGGGATTTCCTTTTATGGGACTGAACAAATCATCTCATTCCCAGACCTTTTCTCACCAACATCCCCCCTCACCTCTGCCAGGTTCAATCAGCAAGGAAACTAGCTAAATATCTCTTAACAGTGGTGAGGAACTGTTTGTTGCTTTTTAAAATTACTTTTAATTTTTCTTTTAAGTTCCGGGGTACACACGCAAGATGTGCAGGTTTGTTACATAGGTAAATGTGTGCCATGGTAGTTTGCTGCACAGATCAACCCATCACCTAGGTATTAAGCCCAGCATGCATTAGCTATTCTTCCTGATGCTCTCCTTCCCCCCTCATCCCCCTCACAGGCCCCAGTGTGTGTTGTTCCCCTCCCTGTGTCCATGTGTTCTCGTTGTTCAACTCCCATTTATAAGTGAGAACATGCAGTGTTTGGTTTTCTGTTCTTGTGTTAGTTTGTTGAGGATAACAGCTTCCAGCTCCATCCATGTCCCTGCAAAGGACATGATCTCATTCCTTTTTATGGCTGCATGGTATTGCATGGTGTGTATGTGCCACATTTTCTTTATCCAGTCTATCATTGATGGGCATTTGGGTTGATTCCATGTCTTTGCTATTGTGGATAGTGCTGCAATGAACATGCACATGCATATATGTTTATAATAGAATGATTTCTGTTCCTTTGAGTATATGCCCAGTAATGGGATTGCTGGGTTAAGTAACATTCAAGTATATTATGGCCTTTCTGTCAAAGAAGTTCTATCTTTTAGGATTTACTTACTGCAGAAGCATTTGTAGCCAACGAGAGTCTCAGTCTGTGTTCACACTCTCAGTCTGTGTTCCCTGTCTGGAGCAGGCTGCTGCCTTCATAGGGTGTTTCCAGGGGCTTCCCGTACCCAGCTGGTGACCCTGAGCCCTCCACGTGCCTTATGATAGGTCATTGTTGGTAAGGAATGCCTTCGTGTTAAGCGCTGCCATCCTGCAATGAAATGCAAATGATTCAGGCCAGAGGATCCGTATGAAGTCCCCAATGCCTGGATGTGGGTTAATCCAGCCAGCTTTTTTCCAGTCCCCCAGTAGGCTCCATGTCCCTTCTGACTAATGCATCTGTTATTGTAGTGACTAAAAATATATTTTCCTCACCCATCCTAGACTCATTGTTGAGGCCCCTCTAATAAAAGATAGATGAACAAAAGAAAAAAATATAAATTTATTTAAATGTAAGTTTTGTGGGTACGGGAGCCTTCATAAGGAAATGAAGACCCGAAGAAACAGTGAAACCTGTTTTTTCTGGTAGGTTTGATGAAGAGTGGATGGTCATGGAGACATATGCAAGGGAAAAGAGTATGATGTAACGGTAATAAGCTGGGGGAACTTAGGCAGGCCTGTTTGTTCAGATTTTTCTCTGTGTCCTGTGTCCTCAGAGGTAAGGATGCTCTTTTCCTCCAGATGTGGGGAGGGCACCTCTCACATGAGCACCTGAAGACCTGCGGCAGCGGACAGTCACAGAGGCCTTCTAGGTTTTAGGACCTGCCTCAGGAAAGAAGGCTGGACAAAGGTCACAGAGACCTTCCTGCTTATGTGTTTTTTTCCAATTCCTTCAGCTTACACTGTTCAATATGCCGAGGTACCATATTTTGGGGGTAGCCTGTCTGCACCCCATCGTTACTGTTTGTTTTGTTCTGTCAATCCTCGTCTGCAGGTCAGTGGTGCTTCCCACTCTTATAAGTCCGGGAGAACCCATTGTTCATTCTCTGGGTCCTCCCAACAGCCTGTAGTTTGGTTCTTTGCCCTTGAAAGCAGCCTGTGTGCTTCTGCTGTGTTGAATCAAACATTTGGACGAAGCCAGAAACCTTGGAAGAGAAACCAAAGAGACAACAAGGTCATAGAGTCACGTGTTTAAGAGCACGGACACCAAACAGGACTAGATTTAAATGTTGTCTCCACCACCTACTAGCTATGACCCTTGGTCAACATACCCCACCTCTCTCAGGCTTACCTACCCTCTCTGAGCCTCAGTTTACTCAACTGTAAAATAAGATCAGTTATTAAGCCTGTATCATACAACTGGTGTGAAGATTAAATGGGATGTACTTGGTATCATGTGAATACCCCTCAAACATTGGCCACTATTACCCTTGTTGTTATTAATAAGAGTGAGAGGAGCATGGTGGACAAATGGTAGCTCCTCAGATTCAACGTGAACTGAGGAGCAACAGGACTTGGGATCAAAACACCTGAGCTGAGAGTCATTCCCTCTCTCTCTGAACTTAGGCAAGTCCTATCATCTCTTTAAGCTTTGTTTCCACAGTTGTGAAACTGTGATAATAATAATATAACACCTGCTTCACAGGGTTATTGGGAGGACTAAATGCACTAATGTATGTAAAGCTGCTTTGCAAACTACAAGGAACCATATAATATTGGTGATTATTACTCACACCCAGTTCTCAACATTTTCTGGGACTGGTCCTGGTAAATTGAAAAAGAATGAATGGATTATCTAAGAATAGGAATGGGAAAAAATGAGGCTCAATTCTCATGACTTTAATCTGGCAGCTCAATAAAGTCCAGGCCAAAGGGTGATCCTCACAGAGATTGAGGATTCTGACTAAAAGGGACCACCGGCACTGGGCTAATTGTGTTCCTAAGTGATCCTTTCCTTTGAGTCAGCAATGGCCTACTGTTTACCTACCATATAATCTCATATTGCCTCAGGAGACACCCTAACATTAGTTACCATTATTGAATTTCATAAAAGATGACCTTCATAAAAGATGGACCAGTATCACAGGGCAAAAGAGAAAGAGTGCAAAAAAATCATGGCATGTGTTACCTCCCTCGAGGACCTTTATTCTTGGCTCTCAAGATTTGTTTTAATGTTTACCTTTTTTCAAAGTTGCATTTTGGGTAATACTTTTCTGGTGTTTTATTGTTTATGAATTCTCCAACTTCTGCTGGCTTTGCTAACTTATCTTCTATTTTCCATTACTACCCTAAATAAACATTTTTAATTTGAAAGTTAAAGGGTAAGGAACAGCTTACACCTGCAAGGAGGAGGAGGCTTTCATGGCCAAAATGTTACTAGCTGTAGGCAGGTCCAGGATGGCTCCTACCAAAGTTGGAGTTCTCTCTGAGTCCTGAGTTACCTAATTCCAGGCTCTCCTCCCCTCCACTCTGGGGCTGTCCTCAGAGCAGCCACTGACACAAGCTGTCTGCCATTCACATTAAGACACAGATGACTTAGTACAATTAAAATGCAGTCCTGGCCAGTGCAGTGGCTCATACCTGTAATCCCAGCACTTTGGGAGGCAGAGGCAGGCGGATTGCTTGAGTCCAGGAGTTCAAGACCAGTCTGGGCAACATGGAAAAACCCCATCTCTACTAAAAATACAAAAAATTAGCTGGGCATGGTGGTGCACACCTGTAGACCCAGCTACTCAGGAGGCTAAGGTGGGAGAATCACCTGAGCCCAGGAGGTTGAGGCTACAGTAAGCCATGATCGTGCCACTGCACTCGAATCTGGGCAACAGGAGTGAGAACCTGTCTCAAAAAAATAATAAAATGTGGTCCTCTGGCATACTGATTTTTCAGGAACAATCAGATTTAGCCAAAGGAAAGTTCTAGCAGAATTCCAGAATTCTAGAATTGGGCTTTGCTCAAAAGGTCTTATGGGAAAGAGGCAGAAGATAATTTGTACAGTACTACTTTGCACAGTAGTACAAAACCTTTCAACAACATTCTACGCCTTTTACTCCTGCCCACTAGAAAGAAATTGGGGCCAACTGAATCTGCATTCACAAGAAGTGAGCCAGAATGGGGAGGCCAAATAAAATTCATGAGAGCATAAGGAGTGCCTCTTCTCCACAATTTTCTACATGCTTGTGGAGGCCACAGGATTAACTCAAAGGGAACAGGGGCAACCTAGCAATCAGGAATGTTCTCTGCCCTCGAAACGGCTCTGAGGAGAAGCGTCTTGGAGTTGGAGCGTGTATAAACATTACTGATATGAAGAGCTCTCTTTGAAAGTTTCTCTACTGCCCCCACCTAACTTCATTTTACCCCAAATTAGAAAACAAATTAAGAACTAGAAAGGAAAATTTTAACTTACTCATCTAAATCTACAAAATTAAAAACTTCACTTACACAATAGGACACTTCACCAGCAAAATAGCAGTGTGAATTTATTTCAGTCCCTGGTAAGTATTCAAATGCAAGATCCTATAGTGGTATTATGAAATACACGAGCACTTAAACGTATAAGACAGGCAATTCAGGAAATGAACGTTCTTACGTGATCAAAGAGTAAAAGTAATCCTGAATTACAGTGAAGCCTAGCAAGAGCTCTGGCTGACCTAGTCACCCTTTGTGGGGCTCTAGACATATAAGAAACAACCAGATGAACAGGTGGCATGGTAGCATGCCAGAAGAGGGCAGACACAGCCCTGAAATAAATTGGAAATCTGCCATCAATGGTGTTGGGCCTCCATTCCCAACCACTGACATATTGGGGAAAGATGCCTTTGTCCTGCTGGGCCAGTTTTGCCCCCAGCCAAAGTAAATATTAGACAAATATTTGATGAATATTATTTCCAGGGGACAGCAGCTTATATGCCTCTTGGAGTACCCATCTCTGTTTGAGATCCCTCTTTAAACCCAGGGCACAGAGGAAAGGTGCAGCCTCAGGACTGTTGACCTTAGGAAGGGGGTGCAAAGCGTCTTTCTCCCCTTCATCCTTTAACACAGGGCCCAGTGCTCTTGGGTTGCCCAAGGCCAGGAAATGGGCCAGGTGGGACAAGGAGAGAAGGGGAATTAAGCCAGGTCTGCCCACCCTCAACCCCCAGTACTGTCTCAGTTGTGCTTCATGGCAGGGGTAGGACGAAGGGGAGTTACATATTTTTAGCACTTACTAGATGCCAAAGATTCTGCTGGTTGCATTATGTACATTATCCCTTTCTAATATGAGAAACAACACTTGGAGGTAGTTATCACTACTCCCACATTCTAGATGAGGCTCCAGGGAAGTTAAGAAATTGATCCAAGTTCACACGGAGATTCAAACGTGGGTCTGACTCCCAAGCTCCTGCTCACATGGCATCCCATAGACACTCGGCTGCCAGATATGACTCAGTTGCCTCCATACCACCAACTTACTCTGCCTGGGGCCAGCCAGCGTCTTGCCAGGAAGGGCTGGGACCATGCCCTTGCTGCTGTTGGGCAGCTAGGCAGAAAAGTCACAGGCTTGAGATTCTGGCATCTCCCACCACTTCTAGACTTAACTAAAACACAAGATGTGAGATTTAGTTTCCCGGCTGCCACCAAAAGAGGCCAGATAAGCAACCCAGAGGTAGTGCCCCAGAGAAGTTACCTTCCAGTCAGAGACCCAATCTACTCATTTCCTCTCCCTTCTTCCACCCAAGGACTGCTCCAAGGCAGACCTGTCCCACCTGAAGACTCCCATGTGGCTGGACAGGCTCACCTGCCAACTCACCAGCAGAGCTCTTCATGAAGCAAGGCCAAAGCAACCCCAGCATTAATCCCTATCCTTTCTCCTCGCCTCACTTTCCCCTACTATCAATGCTCTGAGATTGCACTTTCCAAATAAAGCATCAGCCTCAGACAGTTTCCTAGGAAAGTCAGGCTTTCTAGTCATGTTTGTGCTTAGTTTCTTATTTCATTATTCTTAATAAGTACCTGGAAGCCTACCATCCAAAACAAAATCTGGAACCTTGGCATAAACTTCATCTAACCATACAGTGCCCACATCCCACACCCCACACCCCACTCCCACCCCCTCACCCCCCACCACACACACACACAGGGTCACCATCATCCAGAGAATTCCTTAGTTTTTTGGAATATAGTTTTATTGCACCTATATGTATTTCTATAAAGCTTATTTTTATATTAATTGTAACTCTAGAAAAATAGATTGTGCATCGTTTAACAACAGGAATACATTCTAAAAAATGCATCATTAGGTGATTTCGTCATTGTGTGAACATCACAGAGAGCACTTACACAAACCTAAATGGTGTAGACTGCTACACACCTAGGCTCACGCTAGCAATGGCATAACCCATTGTTCCTAGGCTACAAACCTGCACAGCATGTCACCGCACTGAATATTGTAGGCAACTATAACACGATGCTAAACATACAAAATGTTTATATCTAAACATACAAAAGGTAAAGTAACAGACAGTATTAAAGATTCATATATTGCATACCTATATAGGGCAGTTACCATAGGTAGAGCTTGCAGGACTGGTAGTTGTTCTGGATGAGTGGGTGAGTGAGTGTTGAGTAAATGTGAAGACCTAGGACATTACTATAGAGTACAGCAGAGATTATAAACCCTGGACACTTAGGCGATGGGAAATTTATTTTAAAAATATTTTCCTTCTTCAATAATAAATTAGCTTACTGTAACTTTTTAACTTTATAAACTTTTTTAAACTTTGAAACTCTCGAAATAACACTTAGCTTAAAACAGGAACACATTGTATTTTCTTTATATCCTTATTCTATCAGCTTTTTTTTCAAATTTTCCATTTTTAAATTTTTATTTTCTACTTCTTAAACTTTTTTGTTAAAAACTAACATAAAAACATGCACTTTAGCCTAGGCCTACACAGCGTCCTGATCATTGTCACTGTCTTCCACCTCCTCAACTTGTCCCAGTGGAAGGTCTTCAGGGGCAATAACATGCACAGAGCTGTCATCTCCTATGATAACAGTGCCTTCTTCCGGAATTCCTCCTGAAGGTCCTGCCTGTGGTTCTTCTTGAGGAGGGTCACTCTTCAGAAATACGTGCATGGTGGTATTCTTGGTTTGTTTCCTTTTTTTTTTTTTTTTGTCAAAGATTTGCTTATAAGCAGATACTGCACTATGAACATTCCTCTCTATTAATGAAAACTTTGGTATTGGGGTCTATGATTTAAACATTTTAAGGAGCTTGTTGAGGTTTGCAAACGTTCTGCTGAACCCTTCATGAATTTTTCTGGGGATTCTTCTTTTTCTTCTGCAATTTCCTTTTCTCTTGCCTCTTCTTCAGTCACACATTCCTGTTCCATTTCCAAAAACTTCTTGTTAGTCAATTCCTCAGGACAACATCACTAGGTGATAGGAATTTTTCAGCTCCATTATAATCTTATGGGACCACTG